CAACTCCCTACTCCCCATCAATTTTTTATTTTCCTTTTTTATCTTAATATTTAATTTCCACTTCTCTTTTTCTCTCTTCCTTTATCGCATAGGAATATAATTCTCTTATTGGCAGCTGTTGGTTGGTTGGTTGGTTGGTTGGTTGGCCGTTACCATATGCAAAATACTTGCTTGAAACATAGTCGAGAAAATTATTAGCTCGACATAAAAGCAACAGCGTTGAACCAACCGACGGTAAGCTTTATGACTTACCTTCGCGGAACTCTCGCACGATCCACCGATTAATTGCTATAATAATTAGCCTTACAGTTCTCCCTTTTTTTTTTTTATCCTTACGATTCGATGCATACGATTTTGTTACTTAAGAACGTACTATTTTTAAGACCTTCCTCAACAGATAATATATATATGTACATTTTCTTGTTTCTTACAAAATGAATTTAAAATAAAGAAATTTGTTGGATCCTACACAAGAAAAATTCATCAAAATCTTTACAATTGTTATCCTAATTTATTTAAATGCGTATAATTTTACAATGATTTATATATTTTTGTTTTTAAATATATATATCTCAGTGAGAATAAAATAATTTTTAGAAATAGGAACAAATTTATTCTATAAAATTTGTAGAACCATTGATCAAAACATTTCACAAAAATTAGAACTTTCTTTCAGTCTAGTAATATTCTCGAGAGGATCCTTTTGAAACCCTTAAAAGGTTCATGTATTAAGATGAAGATAAATCCTTTAGCAAACAACCTTTAAATACCACACTTAGGATCCAAGCTTTAAGTTGGAATACAGTTACGTAAATATCTCGGTTTATTTTGGATAATTGTTTGATGAATTTGATTTATGATATGAGATTATCCAAACAGATATTTTCATACTAACAGAAAATTATTACAAGAATGTAAATTTGGTGAAAACGATTAGGAAAAACTCGTCTGTCAATTAATTCACATTGGAAAAATATCATTAAAAGTAAACTATTAAATGTTGATAATACTAATTCGTAAATTAATTATGACATTTATAATACATTTGATGATGATCGATTAGATTAATTAGAAAATGTATTCTTTTCATTAACATAATTCTTATTTTAAAAAAAAAAAAAGAAAGAAAAGTAAAGAAAAATAAAAAAAAAAAAACTAAATAAAATTAATAAGAAATCCGATTATTAATTGTTATATAATTAATTCATTAATCGTTTACAACAATTACAATTTGTTCGACGCATCTTGTCTGTCAGATCAATGATTGAAAAGAAATGTTATTCTTTTTACATTGAAATGATTTTTACGACAACAACAACAACAAAAAAGAAAAAAGAGAAAAATAATATTAAATAAAACAGAAGACCAAATAAAGCTGAAGAATTGATGCACAAACAAAATAGCATGTTCAGTGGCAATTAAGATCACGATTATAATCAGATGTTTATTATTTAATTAAATTAAATAATGACGGTTAGTTGAGTATTTAAATACGTCGAGGTAAAATATACTAATTGATGATCGTTGTGATATGAACATTATAATAAAATGAAAAACTTCATTGGAATTATTTTCATTCATGCGAGTTACCTGTAACTCAATTATTCCACGTGTTTAAAATAATTCGTGTATAAACAATCACATTTAAATCGAACTTGTTTTTCTTTTTGTTCCCTTCTAATCTTTCTATTTGAATCTTAAAACGTATTCTTCATTTCTTAACATTTTAATAAAATGGCTGTGAAACGTGTAATGGATGAGATACAAAGTGCAGGATTTTGATCAACATTCGAAGAATTTATTTTGTTTATATCAGTTAGGATTGTACTAAGGTACAAGAAAATTATTTAAAATCATAAAAAAGTGAACTCAAATCGTTAAAGAAAAATGATATATTTAATAGGAATATTAGATTTTTTAATGGGATCCCTAAAATCATCAAAACCAATCTATTACCAAAATTTTCGTGGACTGAGTACCAAGTTCAGCGATTTGAAATAGAATTTTAATGTTTAGAAGAGTGATTGTTATAAATAAAATTAATCGTTTGGTGATATATACTTAATATTGTTAATAAAAATCACTTTAGTTGTCTGTTAAATATATCATTACAGCACGTTGAACAACTGTTTTCTTGTTTTCTTGAAAGTTTTTCTTTAAATTCAAATCTTTAGTTCTTGTTGGTGTTTATAACTTATTAATATTTATTAATTATATATGTCTACTATTTATTATTTGCCTTTTTACATAATCTTTTTTGTTTAATTTATGTATGAGTGTTTCATCACGTAAATAAATTAGTAAAATATATAAATAGTAATTATGTAATAGTAGTAGTAGTAGTAGTNCTTTTTACATAATCTTTTTTGTTTAATTTATGTATGAGTGTTTCATCACGTAAATAAATTAGTAAAATATATAAATAGTAATTATTTAATTTTTTATAATAATAATAATAAATAATATATTTACAACTTGATCAATAAATTCTGATACATATTGAATAAAAATATTAATTTTAATAGAAAATTTATGAAATATTGTACAAGTATTCCTAAAAATGTTAGTCGCATGACTAACCCCACACACATATGGGATCAGAAAAAATCATTCCTATACTCGTGAGTAATGAAAACCCATATAAAATTGAACGAACCTAAATGCATAGTATAATCTGTTAATTTATTATAATAAAAGAAAGAATATAGGGTTATAGTTTTGCAAAAATATTTGTTTGGGAGCTGGGTGAAAAATTGTAGAGACATCGAACTATCGTTTGAAAATCCCATAAAAATAAAGATTTAGATTTATAACTATTAACATATTAATATTAAATAATAGTAATATACTGATCGAATGTGTGACGGACGAAAATGAAAAAAAAAAACAAAACAAACAAAAGAAATCGAAAAGATCGATAAATTTATGCAACGTGCACGCAGCCTTATTTTTTTTCTGGTTCTTCTTTTTTTTTATGGCAGCTGCAGCGTTATTTTTCTTCATCGCGAAACGCGAAGTTGCATTAAAAGAAGAATACTATACTCATATTTATGAAAGTACTATAATAACATCTCGTACTTGTTATCACGATACAACTCGTATGAAAATTTCAATCGTTGGAAGATCATTTTCGAAGAAAAAAAAAAGAGGAGAACAAATGGAAAATGAAATTTCACTTTTGTTTCTTCTTCTTTTTTTTTTTCAAACGATTTCGATTATCACGAATGGAAACCCTTTTTTCCATCTCTCTCTTTCCCACCCCTCTATTATTTTTTTTTCTATCGAATCGATTGGCGAGGAGGGAAAAAAAAAAAAAAGAAGAAAATACCATAATGAAAACGCACGGTATCGGATGATGACGTTATTCGCGAACAAAATGAAAAAAAAAAAAAAAGAAGAAGAATAAAATAGAAAAATAATCTAAGAGAGATCGTCAAACCGTTCATTTTCGAAAATTGAACCCTTTCGTAAATCGTAATATCGTTTAAAATTCTTTCGTGAACAACAACAACAACAATAATAATAATAATAACAACAACACACCGAGATCATTCGAATTGATTACACCCACGAAGTATTTTTCTGATTTCAACGCACACACCTATTTTCGTATCCCTATTTCTTACACGTTTATCCTATTTGAAAGGAAAAAAAAAAAAAAAGAAACTAGAAAAAGAAATTCAGAGGAAATGGTCTTGCATTACTTCGAATGATTCGATAGTCCTTTCATAAATCGCATAAAAGAAGAAGAAGAAGAAGAAAAAAGAAAACAAAATTGAGGATTGTTAGCTATCATTACAACACAGATATATACATATACATATATATATATACATATGCGAATACTCGGGATTCTTAGGAAAAAGAAAAAAGAATATAAGAGGGTGAAGAAAAAGTTTAGGGAATCCCTCGATAAAAGAAGACAACCCTTTTTCTTCCCCCCCCCCCCCCCCAATACTCGCGTACAGAAACGCACAGTTATTTTCAAACGTTTTATTCCTAGTATGCAATTTCGACAGAAGTTTATGCGAACTATTCGCGATCATCGTTCATAATCCACTAGTTTAGGACAAATCGTTGTTCATTCAACTCAAATGCAAATGAAAATGTTCTGGAAAAACACTAAAAAAAAAAAAATAAGGGGAGATTTGATTTGTTGACTACAACTTGATAATAGAAATACAAAAAGAAATAAAAGTTCTTATGGAAATTTTTATAAGAGAACGCGTAGACAAAATATTATTTACCATGCGAAAAATAGAAAAAGGAAGGAAGAAGTAAAAAAAAAGAAAAAGAAAAAGAAGAACCGAAAAAACAAAAGGGATAAAATAAAAAGCGAGAAATAGAATAAAAGTAACGTGTGTAAGCATCGTAAAAGTAGAAGAGGTGAGGAGGAAAAGAGAGAGAGAGAGAGAGAGAGTGGGATTGTGGGTGAAGATAAAAAAAAAAAAAAAAGGGGTGATGGAAGAAACCAGAGAAGGGTAAAGAACGTACGCGTCATTACGAATTTACACAGAGACCACTGTTGGAGGGTTTTTGTCGACGACCTGTCGGTCGACCACCAAGAAGAACAAGAAAAAGTTGTTGAAGAAGAAGAACAAGAAGAACAAGAACAAGAGAAATAGAAATAGAATTAGAAGTAGAAAAGTAGATATCAACGTATTCCAACAAACAGAGAAAACTCGAGTTCCATCCCCGATGAAAGAGAGGGTGAGAAAAAGAAAGAAAGAGAGAGAGAGAGAGAGACCATAGGAAGGGTTTTCAAGAGACTACTAGCATGACTAACCAACCCCTAACAGAAATTCCTCGTTACTTTACACTTTCCACTTCATCCCCTATCAAACAGTTTTAACCTAACTGTTTCGATATTAACCACCATAATCCAAGTACGACGAAGCTACGAGGTTAAGAACATTATCAACCTTTTACTTTTTATTTTAATGAGCCATATTATCAAGCAGACCCTTTTGTAACTACTAACTTACCAAATGGTTTACACCCAAAATTGATTGGTAAAAAGTCATGGGTATATTAATTAGAGTTTACTCGGTGTTTAATTTGTTCGGGATATAATTGACAGTTATATTAAGAATTTATTGACTATAGTTAGTTTCCGACATTTTGATAATATAACGTAACCTAACCTTACTTTTTTTTTTTCATTCTTCTTCTTTTATAGACTAACGTAAATTATTTTGTAATATTTTAACGTTTTAAATTGAACCTTGTTTTTCTTTTTTCTCTCTCTCTTCGTTAACCTTGGTCTATGCAGTGTGCGTATATGTGCACATATACACACACACACATGATGCGATATTTCACGGAGTAAAATATTCTTGGAATAAGTGCCCGAGAGAAAAGATATATCTGTTAACATCAGTGAGTAAGAGATAGGATAGCAGATAAAGTACTTATACTACCACCGGTTGCTACGACGTTTGATAATGAGAAACGTAATTAGTCTCGACAATTTGAAAAAAAGAATCCAACGGTGTGATTACGTTGTCGTGTGTTAATAAGAGTTGCAAGGGTGAGAAGAAAATAAATAAGAATGAAAGGACACGTAAAAGGATTCGCGATATGTTATTCCTAATCCTAACAGGAACCATCTGAACTTCATTATATTCCTTTTACCTGTATTCTTATTTATCTTAATTTTTTTTTGCTTTCTCCTTCCTCTTGTTCTTTTAGGTTCTTAAAAGGTATTCCTTTTTCTTTTTATGCTCGTATATCATAGATTCTGTTTCATGGCATTGTAGTATTATGAAAAGGGAAGAAAGATATAGAACGACGGGGCGTCGACCGACGCTTAAGATGAACCGCTACCTGCTGCTCTAGATTTTCTCTATGTTTCTTTAACCTTTCACTAAACCGTTGTCTTCCTTTAAAATCCCCCCGAAACTCCTTAACCCAGACTAATCTCCAAAAAAAAAAGACGGTTGTTTTAACTCGGTTATGGTATTAACAATGGATCGTTAACAAATCACGTTATGGAACTATCGATGATATATTGAACGAATTATGATAATTTTATTGACGCGAGTTTAGATATAAACAAGATTAGATTATATATATTATAATTCCTTGTGTTCGGATTTAACTTGATCTAACATAATTACTCAGAGATAGACTAATAAAAAGATAAAGTATAAGGATAAAAATAGTATTGTAAAAAAGTTGGGAATACATACAGTTAGGGTACTCACCGTCCTTGGGCGGCGAGGGACATTGAGGCGCGTAAGATCCAAGATGATATCCATATGCATTATGTTGATGCATCGGTCCAAAGGGATATCCAGCAAGCGCTGACCTAGGACTTGGGAATCCAGGCTCAGCGTGTTGTTGATTCCCACTACCGGGACCAGAGGATTGGTGTCCGAGGGCGCTGACCTGATGAGAAAATTGATGTGCACCAGGTACGTTATGTCCAGATGGGTATCCACCCCGTAAACTGGCCGGGTTGTAGAGGTTATTGTGTTGAAGTTCGATGAATGCTGATTTACCAGTTTGGGATACCGGTGTACTTGATGTTGTACTATCACCAGCATTATTACCACCACCAGGTGGTCCTGGTGTCACCGAACCGAGTCCACCGTGATGAAGATGTTGGTCCATGTCGGATCCACCGTTTCCACCACCGTTTCCACCACCGGCTTGACCGCCACCCGACGGTCCACCACCGGCACCACCCGACATACTGTTCGGGGTCGGGGTACTAGACGGACAGGGGTCGCCCGCCCCGAATGGGCTCCCCAGGTCCGTGAAATTGAGCGTCGTCGTGCTGCTTGGCCTTTCCACCTTCAAGCCGAGCTCGAGAGCAGCCTCGAGCGTTGATAAATTTGTCGCGGACGACGTCGTCGCCGCCGCCGCCCTACCGCGACACCCGTACGGGGCCCGAATCTTGGATTAGTTCGATTTTATCTTCTTCCCCAGCCAAGGACATTGGATACTTTTTCAATATTTCAACAAGATCTTTAACTTACAATTATTAGAGTTTTTTCTATTTCTTTTATCTTTATTATTTCCTTTTCTATCTAAACCCCGTTTATATTCTTTTCTTTTTTTATTATTCTCACTCAATTCACCTCCACTTAACGACACGGCCACTTTTTTTTCCTTCTTCTTTCCTAATTTTGTTGCACTTTATTATTTTATTAATTGAAATTGATTCGTCCGCCTTCCTTCCTTCCTTTCTTCCTTTATTTATTTTTCTTCTTCTTTCCGCTCTTTAATTAAATTAAATTAAATCCAAAACTAATTCGATTAATCCCGAGATCGGTCAGCTCGATGTAAATCTCTTCATATTTTTATCCTTACACCAAACATACCCCGTCAACATTATCCAAATTTATTTATTCATTTATTTTCTTCTATCTCTTTTTCTTTCTCTTGTTATCTTATTTTTAAATATTCTTTCCTTCACACACGACACTTAATCATCAGCTTCCTAGCTGTTAGTGAAAACACGCGCGAACGCGCGGCTCGCCTTCCCGTTCTGTTAAATTAATCAATTGTTGTATGTATTTAACGTATACATAAACAAATTCGCTAAAGATTTATTAATCAAATCAGCGTATAATAAAACAAACTTTTCTAATTTCTTTTCTCTCCTCGTTTCTCTCTCTTTCCCTCGATAAAAATGGTTCACACGATATAACGTTAATAAATGTCGATTTAAAATTCAAGACCAAAATCACGAATCACGAATCGCAATCCTGACGACGACGACGACGACGACGACCGCGACAACGACGACGACAACGACAACGACAACGACAACGATAACAACACGACACGACACGAACGAGGATGAAGAAGAGAGAAAAGCACACACGCGCGCGCCTTGGCCACTAACTGCAGTGCACACCGAGCGGCGCGGACCGGTATAATGATACATAATGAAGCCCGAGCCTCTCCCCGAGCCCGGTAGATAATTTCCCAAAGTTGCCGCTGTGGCGCTACGGGTAACCACGCCCACGGCGACTGTCAATCTGGAACGTGATTCGTTCTCCCCACCACCGAGCAACCGTCTTCCGAACTCCCATTCGTTAGCCGGAGGCCATTATGGTTACCGAGTAGGCGTGACTTACGTTAACCACGCCCCATCAACACAATCTTCCTATCTTCCTACCTGCGGAACGCGACTACGATTATACCTGAAGCCCCAACGAACGCACTTGCCCGTTGCTCGTCCTGACGGATCATCGTTTCTCTTCTTTTATACTCCAATATCTTATTTCCAATATTGTTTTATATTTGGACACTTTCACAAACTATTTAACAAAAATATATTTTTCAATTGTTATTACTTATTATATGTTTTAATTTTAATAATGTTCTTTGAAAATTTGTCGATGTTACTGTTTTCTTTTTCTTTATTTTTAAATATAGAGATATATTTAATAATAAATGTTGTTATCTGTTTAGAAATGTTTGTACGTCAGGATCATCGCGACAGGAGCGATGACGAGAACGTCCTTGGCCCCGCCCATCAACCGATCGCTAAGGGAATGGACCACCAATGGCTGGAGGTGGAGCTGTTCCGAGCTTTCCAACAACTTTTTTTTACTCTTTTATCCTTTCGCCGATGTACTTTACTTACTTGCGTAGCACCGTTCGTTGTTACCGGTTACGTCGATCCGTCGGATCTATGAGAAAATCCCTGGTTTTCATTTCTTTTACCATTTCATTTTATTTTTCATTCGCGATTACTATCTGGCAAGTCTTTAATGAAGATCAACCAAGTGAGATTAGATCGTTCAAATAGAAATAAAATCTTGACACGTAACCAGTATCAACTATTCACACGCAAATATACACACAAGTAAATACGTAAGTATATACATACAAATCTGATTCTTTCCTTTTGCGCAACGGATCTTATCCGATGGTTGGTTACTCCAATCGTGAAATGGTAAAAGATATCGTGACTTTACACCGAGTAAATCTGAAGGAAAGAGAATAACAAACAAAGTCACCACGCGTGAAGACATTAAAAGTGAATATATCAAGTGGTTGAACAAAAATAAGAAAAAAGAAAAAAAAAAGAGAAAAAAAGAAAAAAGAAAAAAAGAATGGGAATAGGACTTCGAAAAAAAAACCCACAAATGTGTTGCGTATGCGTTCTCCAACCAACGGAGATTAAAATCTATCTGTTAAGGAGTGAGTGGAGGAGGGGAGCGATCAAAAAGTAGCGAAGAGTGAGATGAGAAGCGATTGAAAAGAAAGAAAATAAAATATATATATAAAAAAGAAAAAAGAAAAAAAAGGAAAAGAAGAAACTCGCGACGATAATAATCTAAAATCCTCGCGAGATTCGTAGGTGTATATAAGAAAGAAAAAATAAAGAAAGAAAAAAGGTTTAGCACCTACCAACCTTTCTCTTTCTCTTTCTTTCATTTCGCTAGTAGTTTTTATTTAAGTGCCTGAGGACAAGCGACGTAAATAATTTTCGAACTCGTGTATATCTGTTTTATCTATCGCCTTGCAAAATCGTAATTAAAATAAATGACTTTTATATTTATGACTCGTGTACGCCACAACGAGAGTTCTTGTTTCCTGTGTAATGGTCATAAAGATAACGAAAGAGGATACTTTTTTTTTCCTCTCCCTCTCTCTCTCTCTCTCACACTCTCCTTTTTATTTTGTTTGTCGAAGTGATAATCGTTAAAAACGACCCCTAACTTTGTCTCAAGTACTATTGGATAAGTTTTTTTATGAACACGGTTATGACCGATCGTTCTTATCATCTCCAAGTGCATTCCTTGAACGTGAAAGACTGACAAATATATAGAAAGAAAGAAAGTGATAAGGGGTCGGGTGGGGAGGGGGTTGTTGGTGGTGGTGTAAAAGGAGGATTAATAAAAAGGACGGAAATTATTTTCCGTAAAATCCGAAAACTTCCGAAACGATTATTAAAATTACCGCAAGCAAGAATTTAATAGACCGACGATTGATAGACGGATAGTCACGGTAATTTCCCGACGCCTTCGGTGTTGTTCCTTAAACGTTACATAACGCTTCCTGGTAGCTCGTGACCGTGATTAGGATAAAGAAAAAAAAAAAAAAAGAAAAAAAAATTAATCCAAAATATGTGCGAGAACGAAAGAATAACGGAAGCTCAACGAGTAAGATGAACAATAAAAAAAAGAAAACAGTTTGATCGTTCGATTGAAACCCCCTATAAAACTTATGAATTATTTCAAACGTTAAACCGATCATCGTCACGGACAGTTTTAGAACACTGACCTAACGCAAATGTATTTGAAACTGTTATCAAGATGACTGTTCAACTGATAGAGACAATTACCCAAGTAGATAATATTAAAGATGATATTATAACCAACAATCTAATGATCCATCTATTGTCATGTTACGTCACGTAACGTAACATCTGGGATCTAACCAATCGTATGTATGATGATTGACATAAATAATGATGAAATAAATTCGAAAAAAAGGGAATACCAATTGGAAAGATAGTCTAATGTTCATTTTTCCATACTGATCTATATTTGACCTATAGGATAACCTAACCTTAAAAGAAATATATCATGGATGGAAATGAGAAAAATGAAAAGGGGTGGCTGTGGGTACACGTCGACGATCGAGAATGAAACAGCTACTAACATCTTCTTATTTTTCATCATCTTCATCTCGTAGGATCGAATTTCTTAAGCGAGATCGAACGAAATCACTTCCCGCTTCGTAATACAGGGGTACCAACCGATGTAGGTACCCTCGGCTACGGCACTAGGCCAAAAGAGCGTGGCACGCTCTTACGGTGCGAAATTACATTGGGGGGCTAATTGCATGGCGGCGGTAGCGCAAACACGTGTCATCAGTCGACCGACCACCACCACCACCACCAACATTACTACAACCATTCTCACTAATACACTGACAGACCACTAGTAAAACGTGCGAGGTACTAGCACAACAACTACCACCACCACCACCACCACCATTACCATTACCAGTACCAACATCAACACCACTACAACACTGCAGCAACTATTACGAGTAGCAACAACACCAACACCATCAGAACCCATAGCCTTTGCAATGCCTATGTTGCGTTGGGTAGCTGCCCGCTTGAGCTTGTATACGCTGAATTACGTAATTGAGGTAAATGCCAGCTATCCAGTGTGCGGGGAACTGTGCTAAATAAAATGCCATTCAATTAGGCAGCGGGAGGACCCTGACTCGGTGTGTTACTCGTACTGCCGTTACTCGTTCGCGATACCTATATAGAATGAGAAAGAGAGAGAATGAGAAATTTCCTAAAGCCGATAGGTCCTCGTTTTAAAAATCAACTGATATATGTATCTTTATAAAAATTAATTTATATGTTAACACGTATTAATTCACTAACGTGTATATTATAATAGAACTTAGGAATTTTGTCTTGTTGAAAAACTTTCTCTTTAAGATTTGCAATAACAAATTATTATCTATCATCAAATGAAAAAGTTGATAATTTGTGATCGTTCCACGATAGAATCCTGATATCCTCTTGTCAATCAAATTCGAAATCTAAAGAAAATATCTTTGGATAGGTAGCTATTAATAAATTGTGAGAACGATTAGTAAGACACGTCGTTTTAAAAGACACTCATCTTCCCTTCTTCTTCTTCTTATTCTTTTTCTTATTATTCTTATTCTTTTTCCTAGAGTGTGTGACATTTCCTTCGAATCCGAATGACACGTAGAAACGCATGCAATTTAAACCGCGAACTGGCAATTTGATCACACCGACACGAGAAGAGAGAAACTTTCTCTCCTTAGTGCAATTTCGCGCGGGATTTCGCATTTATTCCATTCCGAGTTTCCTGCTGCTGTTGCTGTTGCTATTGCTGTTGCTGTTGCCGTTACCGTTGGCTGTTAACTGTGTTTCACTTTGAGAAACGATTGGGAAAGAAAACTTTTCATCCAATCCCATTTATTATTTCTTGTATAAAAATCAAACGACAAAAAAAAGAAATATTTCGAAAAAATGTTTTAGAATCTTTAATTAATTGTTAAATGAATAAAATTGTACACGTTATCAAAATAAAATAAGAAAACGATTTAACTAACTTTCCAATTTTTTCGGAAAATAATCAGTCCTTAAATAAATACGAATAAAAAGTTACAACACCCCTTGTCCCCGACCCCTGACCACCGTTATAGAACGGAAGGAAGAAAATTAGTAAAATAATTCCCATCCCAATTTCTTTCCCAGTTTTCATACCAATCCTTGGTATATGAGTTACGTACGTATGTATTTGTTATATTTGTGTAAGTATAAGTGGACTAAGAAGAAAGAATGAAAGAAAGAGACGGAACGTTCAGGTCGAAGAATTTCTCAGTGCCTGGAGCAGTGACAAGCTCGGATCATAATTTTCGTACTTTACTGCCGGGCAGTAAAACTGGGATGAGTATGGGTAGGCGTTGCCCGCAAACATTGTGTTTGACCGTCTTCTACGTAACATTATCGTTCTTTCTCTTTCTTTCTCTTCTTTAACGTTCCGAAAAACGTTGACTATATTTAGCATCAGGATTAGACATAGATAGAGTCACCCTATACATTTTATTACCCCTTAATATTTTTTGTTTCCAAATGTTAATCCGTACGGGGATTACTTTAAATGATCCTTGAACAAAGTTAACTTTATTAGTCAATATTATTATCTTTTATTATAAAACAGATACCCAAGAACCAATTAGTTCTGACCTTACCAAACAGGAATTAGGAAAAGCTTGAATTACTTAAAAAAAAAGATGATAGTAACTCAAAAGATATTGTGTACTTGCAAAAATGAATAATGAGAATATAATACTGAACGAAAAAAATAGGACAAAATTTTGTTGAAGATTACAAGAACTACGTTAAAATTATGATCAGTATTATTCAAT